TTGGGTTTGGAACAGGATGGGGTACGAATGCAAGGAAGGAAGGTCTGGATGTGGAATGGATGCAAAGAAATGGACTGGAAGATAGGAGGTCCCTGCTGGCACAAGTGGTTTGCACTGGACTACTAATCAAAAGGTTATTAGTTCAAATACATCCAACAACGAACAGATCAAAGACCTATCAATCTGCTTCCATTAAAATTATAGATTAAAAAAACCCCTATGACACAGTTCTACTCTGTTGTAACACACGATGTCACAAGGAATTGAACTTTTGGGTTTGGAAAGATGGGACCAAAGCTCTCTGATTACCAAATTTCGCCCTCTCTCCTTTTTCTCTAGTGTGTGGGAGACATGTATACACAAATCACATGTGGGTGGCCAGGGGTTGAGGGACACTGGCCTTGGATGGTCAGCCTAAGTGTGGGCTATGATCTGTGGGGGTTCCCTGGTCAGTTAGAGGGGGATACTGACGGCAGCACATCGCTTAAAAGCATCAAGTTCTATTCTGTGAAGACAGTTCTCAATAACGACTCGGTGTATGAAACAACAGATAAATGACAGGGGTAACACAGGCAAAGCAAAAGCATCCCCAGGTCATCTTTAACTCTACCACTAGGAGGTTTTTTTTAGGGCTAGGGTAGAGAGATTAGAAAAAAAAAATTAAGAAATTATGGAGAAGGAACTGTGCTAAATGCTTTTCTCATTTTTTTATCAAATCACCTGCAAGTTTATTCAGAGGATTTGATCTAAGCTTCTCTAGGTCATAAACACTCCCGGGGGCTCTCTCCCAGTCACTGCTGCCCTGTGGTAAGTTAGCACCATGACAAGGCCTGCACGGCAAGGAACAGCCAACAGCCAGTGAGTCACAGAAAGATCTGTGCTACAATCCCAAAGGCGCACGGTTTGAATCCACCTGATGCTCCACTGGAGAAGGCGGGGCAATCTGCTTCTGTGCCAGCTGGATCCAACTTGACAGGACACAAGAAGAAAAAAAAGAGTTATATAAGAAAATAAAAAAAGTGCCACATCAGCGATTCTGGATACAGATTATCCCTGGTGAAGCCTTGAGATGAGATAAGGTTCATGACTACAGCCTGCTCAGACTCTGAGTCAGAAGCAACAGCCAAGATCTGATCTTGATCGACAGAAACTATAAGACTTGCTAGCTTGTTCTGATCCAGCTGTAACACACAAACACGTTTTACTTTCTTTTCTTCCACTCAAGACCTGGACTTTCCTTAAATCCACGATGTGGCTGGGATCAGTTGATGCAGATTATTCAAATGAAGGGTTTATAGCACTATATCATCATCCCATCCCAACCAGAGGAAAAACTGCCAACACTGCTTTGTTGAAACTGCACTCTTGAGTCACCTTCACGTCCATTATCAGGACCATCTGCTCCCCAATATCAGAATAGATTTGGCAATTCCAATTTATTGGGTGACTGGATGAAGGGAAACATAAAAATACAGGTGGGAAGGGGAGCTCTCGTGGCCTAGTGGCAAGAAGTTGCACTGCAATCCCAGAGGTACGTGGTTTGAATCCACCAGATGCTCTGCTGGAGAAGGAGTGGCAATCTCCTCCTATACCTGTCAGATCTGATTTGATGATACACATACAAAAAACAATGAAATGAAATTAAATTTTAAAAAAATACAGCTTTCACTATGGATCACATCTATCATAAAACAAAAAGCTTCATTGGGCCAATATGCAATACTAGAATAGATGGTAATACAATTGAATTACCAATCACTTAATTTTACTTGTAGACACAATCATCATCTATGGAGGCAACAGTCACCAAATAATGTATTGCTTTCAGTAAATCTGCTACGAAAGACCACTTGGAAGTGCTTTAAAGACTAAGGTGCACCTCCTCAAAAAAAAAATACAAGTGAGAAAGGATATTTTATACTTTGCAATTATATATTTACTTCAGAACTTTCATGGTTAGGGGCATACCACTACCACGGCAAGTATTTGCACTAAAATCAATTCAACCTATTAAATTTATCTGTCTTCAAGTATCTATTTTAACCATTATTGTTGCTATGTGTCATAGAGTTCACATTGATTCTCAATAGTTGATGCTCAAGTAGGTTTTCAGAGACTATAAACTGCACAGGAGGAAAGCTCATCTTTCTCCTGAGAAGCAGTTGGTGGATTTGAACCATGAACCTTTTAATTTTCAGCCGTTGTATCAGGGTTTAGTATTCAAAAAGACTTTCCTAGACATTGACTTTGACTTTGCCACATGGATGGGCGGGGTGATACAAATATGGCATGTTAGTCTATCCACAAGGGGATTGGCGATTCTCACCATTTTAGTAGGATTAAATTGAATGGTTTCAGCAAAAAGAAAATGGGAAATTTCAACACCAACAAGGAAGAGGAAGCAGCATGCGTCCCTTGGGACCAAAGATTCTTGCACCATTCAGAATAGTATCTACACAAGAGTAACAGAAGCCTCAGCAGAGAACCAGATACCAACAAGACACCCAGCTGTTTGGGAGTGTTGTCTCACAGAGTCAAAGCCATGTATTTTGCATCACATTTTCTTCAAATATTATTTTGCCTCCTATCTTTCTTCTCTCCTTATGATTAAAAGCAAACACTTATAAGCTATACCTTTTTGATATTGTGGCATCCACTTTCTATACTGCATGCCTCCAGAAACCCTATGAACTTTGATAAATGTAGATAGTTGTAGAGGGGCTTCAAGCCTTTTGTTCACAGGGTCACTACGAGTCATGCTCAACTCGAAGGCAATTAACAACAACAACAACCTTTGTAATAAGCCTTTTCCCCTATTCAAATGAAAGAGCTCTCATGGCACAGGAGGGAACTGCACTAGGAACCCAAAGGCAGCACCTTCTCTGATAATTCAAATCCACCAGCAGCAATTTGGGAGAAGAATGAGCAATCTCCTCTCATGAGAGTTATACCCTCAGAAAACTGTTAGAAGATCATCTCTGAATTGGTTCTAAATTGATGACAGAAGATTCCAAACCAGTATGTCTTTCCTATGATGGCACAGTGGTTAAAAAACTGACTGCTAATTAGATGGAATTAATCTAATTAATTGAATCCACTAGTCACTTCATGGGAAAAAGAGAAGGCATTTAAGTCCATAAAGACTACAGCCTTGGAAACGCTCTATGGGGTAGTTCCATTCTGCCCATTACATCACATAGGTCAGAATCAACTCACTGTTAGGTGGAGTTTGGGGTGGTTTTTTTGTTTGCTGTTATGTTCCTCTACCATACATTTTCATTTTTTTTTAATTGTTAATTTTTTCTAAGTTCTAAAATGTCCATTTAGTTTCATATAAACATTTTTTCTATATATGCCAAGATCCCTATCTGTGCTCTATAAGCATATATTTCATTTACATTTGTTGAATACAGTACTAACACTGTTTTAAAATTCTGATTTACAAATTTCAAAAGATGAGTTATTTAATTTCTATTGTTATACTTTTCACCAGTAACATTTTTTCTCTTTTTCTTAGAATAGTTTCCTCTTTATTGGTTTTTAATATCTTTTCGTTTGAGAAATGCCAAGTGTCCACCATGGCGGCAGACTCATGAAAAGAGAAAGTGACAGCAAGGAGGCCAAAGTGGCCTGCGTTAGCAGCTACCAATGTAAACAGAGGGGCCCAGAAGGGGCTTCCTGAAGCAGGGGCACATACAGCACATGGGCTGCCCATCAAAGCTGTGCCTTGAAAGCCTCTGTATTATCAGCCTACACCTAATATTGGCTCAGAGTCGTCCGGTTCACCAAGGCATGCACATGTAAGCACAGGGAATGGGCCCCATCAAGAAAAGCCAGAGGAAAAACAAGCACAGTTACATCACCTTTACCTGAGATGATGCTACGCTTGCTCTGAGAGAGAGAGAGAGAGAAAGAGGGAGACCCCCTACTGACACTTGGTGTGTGGTGTGCCTGCCCCGCGGCACTTAATCTTTCACCTCTCATTGCCATTTAGTAAGAGCAGTCTCATGGCTGACCTGCCATCAGATTTTAGAAGCTGTAAAGGAGATTGTCCATCTTGCTCTCACAGAGCCGCTGGCAGATTCAAATCACCAGAAAGATGCAGCCTTTGGAGCACAACTCCCTGCGGACTTAGACCACTAGAGCTTCCTAACACATAACCCTCCAGCAAGTTTACAGAGGCAGTAAATAGCCAAGGAGGAGATTGCTTTTCTTTCCCTGCAGACCAGCTGGTGGATGCGAACCACATGCCTTTGGAATGGCAGCACTGCTCCTTACCTCTAAGCTGCCAAAGCTCCCTTAACACCTAACACGTACAAGAATGTGGTGATTTGGGAAGGGTGAAAAGATTCCTTTTTAGACATAAAAGTGCACCTCCTCTACAATGTTAAACGGGGTGCTCAGAAAGGGGAGAGAGGACCAGTCACCTTCAAGTGTTTCTGTTGTTTTCTGTAAGTAATTTGTTCTTGTTAACTATCCACTTTCTATAAATAAGAATAATATCTTTCAACTTCCAACACTAAGTGTGATGCCCATTTTTTTTTTCAGTATATATGGGCAAAAAGAATTGTATTGCTCAGGACCATTTTTAAACTACTAGTATAGTCAGCTAAGTTCAGGTTTATGATTTTAGAATCTCAATATGATTTTACATTTGCCAGGGACTCTCCATATCGCAGGGGGCAACCCAGCTCCAAATAGGATTTTGCATCTCAGTGGGCTTCACTGCTGGATCTAAGGAACAACTCTCCTTCCCTTCTGACCCTTGTCTCTCTCTTCTTCATGGTCCCCTTTCTCTGTCCTTATGACCTTCCTCTGTTCTTTATGGTGTTTCTGGAGGGCTTCCGGCATGTTACAGAGGCAATGTGTATATCCAAATAGGAATCATAAGCTAGAGGGTAGAATGTGGTAAATAACTTCCTGGAGTCTACACTGGTGTGATCTACTTCCACAAGCAGACTAATGATACCATCTGAAAAGCCGAGGTTTGGGGTTCTAAGTATTTTAACTTCTCTGACTTCCTGTTCCTAAGTGGACTGATCTCTCTGGGTCTCCTGAGGCCTTCCTGTGCCTTGTGGGTCTAAAATGATGGCAGGAGAGCAGGCAGGACAGCTGAAGCTTCCAGCTGAGGACAAGGCTGAGAAAGGGAGTGCTTGGAGAGCAAGGCCAGGGACAGGGAGCTCACAGGAGAGTCACTGAGAACCCTGGATGATGTCACTAAAGGCATCTGAGATTTTTTTTTTACTTTCTTGATCCTCAAAGTGTCTTCTAGGCGTTGGAATGGGAACAGCAAAGAAATAAAGCTGTCATTGCACAGCATTCTTTGTTCTTAACTATGCATTTCTAAACAATAATGCCTTTGAATTGTCAACATTGTATAAGAGTCGGTCGGTACCACTCAACTGAATCTGACGTCTTACCAGAAGTCTTACCACTACTTGTATTTCTGAGTCAAGCAATGTGTGCTTATGCAGTGTCCCTTTCCCCCTTTATGTGTAAGTATTGTGCACACACATTAAATAACTTCTAGGGAGTCAAGAAAAAAAGCATATTGGAAGACAAAGAGAAGGTTTTTAAAGAAGTATACTGAGGGTTTACTTGTGCCCATGGCTGCATCAAGGGCTTCCTCCTTGATCCATGTTTTTTTCCTTCCTTTAAGGGAATACCCATGTGATATAAAGGCTTGAGTCCTTACCTACTAAATGACAGATTAGTGATTCAAACCCACCCAGCAGAACCTGGGAAGGTATGTCTGATAATCTGCTTCTGAAAAGTCACAGTCTTAAGAACACCATACAGCAGTTCTACTTTGCACACAGGGGGCCACTGTAAGTCAGACTGGAGTCCATGGCAATGGACATCTTATTAGCCCAGCTTTAGCACAAAAGGGGCTCATAATAAATGCATACAGATAGTTCAACTCTGTATTTTTAAAATATTTTCCTTTTAGAAACACCTATCTGGCTTACTACTAAAAGGGCACTAAGATCACAATGTCAAGAGCTGCGGTTTTAAGTCTCAACAGTGTGGACCTATCCAAAGTGGATAATGCCATTTCTATATATAAGAAGATGATTTTTTAAATATTTAGGATAATGAAAGGATTGCATCTCTCATTTATTTACCATCTGTCTTAAGTAGTTACACAATTTGTCTTATTTCCTTTCATTCCTCAGCTCCTGAGCATTAACCTTGGACTCAGTTGCACTTATTTCCCTTACCCCAGATTTTCTTTCTAGAAAAGTTTCATTCATTTCAGTCTCATTTGAGGACTGCCACAGAACCAGGTAGAAATTTCATTACAGTGTACAAAAAGTTGTTATGTGCTGGAGGCAACCCAAGCACACCTAACAACAACTTATATTCAGTCTTTGTCTTTTATAGTTGTTGTTATTGTTGTTGTTGTTAAGTGTCACTGAGTTGGCTGGAACCAACTCATAGCTGACCCTCCAGCAAGTTTTCATTCTGTCTTTTATGGCAAAATAATTTAAAAAAAAGCCCACAACAAAAACTATTTGTTGTGGGGGATTGGGAGGTCAGTTTTTAAAAATGCATTTATTATGTCAGAATAGATTTGAAAGTTTAAAATCCTTGCTAACCTTCTACCTTCTCTCTCATGTGCACTGTTGTTGGGGTCTCCTAACCAGGCTTCACACTTCCTTTCTGACCCCTCACACCTCTACCCACCTCCACTTTTTCTCCACTGCACTCAGGGCAATGTCCTTTATACCATCCCCTCTTCTCCTACATCTTATTCACAAGGTAAAGACTAAAGTCTTCATTATGATGGCCTGCCAAGTCCCGTGCCCTCTGACTCCAGCCTACCTACCCTCGTTCTCAAGCACTCTGCTCTACTGTCCAATCTTGCACTTCCCTTAAATGTTCCAAGGACCCTCTCAGCACCATTTTAAAAAGCTCTTATTGTGGACTGGATGAACAGGTACAAACAGATCTACTTCCTATTCAACCACGCACATTTTGGTTCATGTCACTGACTGCACTCCGCATCTTTCCAGCTCAGCTATTCCCTCTTCCCAGCTGCCAACGTCTAATTAACTCTTACTCAGCCTTCATATCTCAGGTCACCCTTCACTCCCTCAAGGAAGCCACTCTAGCTCTTCCATCCAGAACAAATCTCCCTAGTATATCTTCTCCTAACACTACAAAGCCTTCTTCTATAGGACTTAAAATAGCTATAACTGAGCATTTACCTGTGTAATTCACTGCCTAATTAATGTATGCCTTTCTTATTCGACTTTAATGTCTACAAATAAGAAACATTTTTGTTGTCACTCTTAACTACTGTATCCCAGTCTCAACACAGGCTTGAGGAGCTAATGAATAATAAACACTTGATTAAATTATCTCCCTCCCTGTACTCCTTGCCAGTAAGTAAAGCACTTGAGTCTTGTTTAGGAAGGCCAAGCACCCAGCACGAGGCTTTACACAGCTTAAGTTTTCAAGTATTAACGATGAAGGAAAGAATGGTCTAGTCCAGTTCCTTTCCTCACATGTTTCCATCCACAGTGAACAGAGGACAGAAAAATGAGCACAAGAAGATGAACTGAAAGGGTCTGAAAGGACCCAGACAGTGAAGCTAAAACACAGATAAGAGATGGGCAAGAGGGAAGGAAAAGACAGACTGAGGTCAAGACACAGAGGAGAGGCTGCACACAATGTGTGAAACAGGGTAACACAAACAAGAGCACACTGATGCTGTTAAGTGCCAATGAGCTGATCGCAGATCACAGAGGCATTATGAACAATGGCTCTGACCCCAGCCCTCTCCTGTACCGTCCTGACCAGCTCTGACAAACTGTAGCCCACTGTCGTAGTCACCGTGCCAATTCATCTGGTTAGGGGTCTTCATCTCCTTCACTAACCCTCCACCTTTCCAAGTAAGATGTCCTTCTCCAAGAACTGGCCTCTCCTAACAAGATGCGCAAAGGATGTGAGACAAAGTCACACTATACTTGGCTCCAAGGAGCACTCTGATTGCACCGGTCAAAAAATGCCAAAATACTACTTCCTACCTTTCCTCCAGACCCAGAGCTTGAAATAAAGAAGGAATGGTTCCACAGAAATGTAAAATACTGGGAGAGATCAGCCTAACCTAAGTGGGACAAGAGAACAGAGAGAAGAGTCCCACGAAGTCTCTGTGCAGACTGGTGGATGTCCTGGAGACGGCTGTGTGTCCTGACAGCTGGCGAGGGGTTGTAGGAAAGTTGGCCCAGCATCATGGTGAACCAATGGGTATTCCAACAGGTCCCTTCTCATTAACAGTAAGTGTCCCCCATGTTCCAGGCCCTCGTGCAGACTCTGAGGCTAAAGCAGTGCGTACCACACACCAAGCCCTACCCTCAAGTTTACATTCTAGCGGGAGAGAGCAGAAATAGTCAAAGGAAAACAAAGCGTCAGTTACAGTACTGTGTAGAAAAAGTTTCTAGATAACAACAAAACCATAAAAGGAGACAGAATCACCAGGGAGGGTAATTCTACTTTAGATAAGGGAGAAAGAAAAGTTTCCTGGGGTTGTCTGGTGTCACTTGAAAGAGGCCTGAATGCAGAAGGGAAGGAAGAAAACAGCATTCCAGTTAGAACAGCCTGTACAAAGGTTCTGAGAGAAGCAGAGATTCTGAGCACCAGGAGCATGGGGGGGCAAGGGGTCAGAAGAGCCACTGACCAGGGAGCCATGGCTGAGCCATGAGAGCTTCAAGGGCTTCAGTACAGACTCTGAGGTTCAATGCCAGTGAGATGAGAAGTCACTGGAAGGCTGAGAGCAGAGAATGAAGAAAGAATGGGAGAGTAATAAGTATATAGAAAATCCAACACCACTTCCCTGCGAATATGCTGAGGCCACAAGTGTAGTAGAGTGGGTAGTGAGATGTTAGCAGAATTAGAACAAGTAGCAGAGGAAAAAGAATTAGACACATACATAGGCCCGAGGGTAGAACACTAGGAATCCTGAACATGAATGAGATGGGTTTGTGTTACACAGGTTTGAGTTTTCTTCTCTCTCCCTACTCCCCATCTGCACTATCTCCCCCCCCCCACCCCCCGAAGAAATGAACAGGCCTTTATTGCATGGTCTGAGAGGGACACCAAGTGACTGCATATTTAAAAGGAATATATGATTAGGCATTACTTGTATAACAATTCAAAATAAGAAGGTCAAAATGGCCCATGTGCACTATTAAGATGACCAGTCACTGTCAAACGTCAACTCCACTTCCCATGTTCACTGTGTGCCATGGAGAACAGGGCTGCACGAAGATTGCTTCTGTTATTATTTTTTCTTTTAAATAAACATAGCAAAGTACACTCCAACTCCACTGTTTGTACATGTTTGTACATTAGTGGCAATGATTACATTCTTAGACTCTATCCATGCTCACCTCCATTTTAAGCCCTTCCTCCCTCATTAGCATACTCACTGCCCCTAAAGTATCCCATGGAATCTTTCCAATTACTCTTGTTCCAGTGAGTTTTCAATGGCTGACTTTTCAGAAGTAAACTGCCAGGCCTTGCAGTACCTTGGTATGGAATCAAACTTGCAACCTTTCCATTAATATTCAAGCAAGGCAACCATCTGTACCACCTGTTCCTTTTCATACAATAAAGCTTTGTTAACCCAGATAACGCAAGAATGGCACACAGCCAAGTTTCTTATCATCTGCTTTATAATTCAACACTAGTTTATTGTCTGTTTCTTTCTGTTTGCTTTCTTTATTAACCAGATCACTGTTCCCACCTCTAGGCCTTCTTTTATCTGTCTTTACTACCTCAAGCATCCTCCTCATGTATTCCTCAACCTGCTCATTATACCATAAAGAAACCAGAGCTGCCTCCCAAACAGATATATTCAAACTCATGTTTATTGCTGCGTTATTCACAATAGTAAAGAGATGGATGCAATCCAAGTGCACATCAACAAATGAATGCATAGAAAATCTATGTTATAGTCACACAATGGAATACTATGCAGCACTGTAAAACATTACACAAGATGGGTGACCACGGAGGACATTATGTTGGGTGAAATACCTCCATCACAAAAGGACAAATACTAAAAAAAAAAATGAAA